GGCCCGCATAACGCAAGAAAAAAAAAAAAAAAAAAAAAAAAAAAAAAAAAAAAAAAGAAGTTTAACATGGAGATTTGAACTAGTCGAACATGGGTCCTGCTAAATGATTAATGTGCCGTGGTTGTTAGTCACTCCCTAACGAGTCTTTTTTTTTTTTTTTTTTAAACCTAAATGGTTCAAAGCACAATGAAAGGTTGGAAATGGACCTAAGCCTATTTATTTTATTCAGCTTGATGAACTACCTATTAACTAACTCTTTAACAGTTTAGAGCAGAGAATATAAATTTGTGGCTAGGATAAAATAAAAAAGCAAAAGTCTAATAGTTTAAAGTCAATAATTTAAACAGCTTAATTGTTTTTACTCTTTTTTAAAAGTGTGATATCATAGCTTACATTTTAGAGTATGGTAAAGGCTCATTAACTTCTATTGAAAGTCGTCTGAATGTTCAAAATTGTAGAATAAATGTACAGACTTCTAAGTTGAAATAGAGGCTTTATCTTTAGTGGCTGGAGAGGCTTCTTACAGTTATATTAAATATTTATAGGTGAACATGGATATTTATTGGCATCTTTCATTTAAGTCCATTAAAAGTTTCTCTTACATGGAATTCACACCATTCTAATTTTCGTATTTTAGTTTAATAAGTTCTCTGTTCAAGGTATAAAAGTCAAGTTTAGCTTAGACAATATCCAAATTATATAAACTTTCAAGTTTATTGAGTCTGAATTGGAGATTATTTCAATATTTAATAGCTTCTGGGACACATTATTTCAGTTTCCTTCACATATATTTCAGGAGAGTGTGACATGGTGTGGATTGCTGTATGTTCACTTTTATACCCTACTTTGTATATATGTAAGGTATACATTGCATTAACTTTCAAAATAACACTTGAAGAGAATAGAGAGCAGTTCTAGGAAGTAAAATGTGCTGATCATAGGCTAGTTAATAAACAAAACTCACTTTCATAATTATTGGGAGAGGGTGTTAAAAACTTATTGTAAAACATATCACACATACAGAAGAATGTGTACCAATATACATATAGTTTAAAGCATAATATTATTATAAATATTATTAGTACTTCTCCCTACCACCACCCCCAGAGTTAAAAAAAAAGAAAAAGAATGTTATTAGTACCATAAAAACTACCTAGTTCTTTTTTTAAAATTCTTCCTCATCAGAGGCAACCACTATTTTGACTTTTACAGAAATCATTCCACTGCTTTTTCTTATAGTTTTTGAGAGCTACCTCTGTATGCGTAAATAATATATTGTTTAGTTTTATAAAACTGGGGGGGGGGGCTTCCCTGGTGGCGCAGTGGTTGAGAGTCCGCCTGCCGATGCAGGGGACACGGGTTCGTGCCCCGGTCCGGGAAGATCCCACATGCCGCGGAGCGGCTGGGCCCGTGAGCCATGGCCGCTGAGCCTGCGCGTCCGGAGCCTCTGCTCCGCAGCGGGAGAGGCCACAACAGTGAGAGGCCCGCATACCGCAAAAAACAAACAAACAAACAAACAAAACTGGGTAGCAAGCACAAACCTATTGCCATTATTGGATGAAGCTTCCCCCCAAAAAGATGAGAGAATCTCTGGAACATAGTCTGGCTTTGGCTTCCCAGAGTTTACAAGAACTCTTTCTGGGGAAGTCAGTAGGCAAGATCATGAATGTGTTCTGAGCCACGCCTGTCAAAGTCAATTGGCAGAGGTGTAGAAGAGACCAGGTAGGGCTTCCCTGGTGGCGCAGTGGTTGAGAGACTGCCTACCGATGCAGGGGAAGCGGGTTCGTGCCCCGGTCCGCGAAGATGTGCCGCGGAGCAGCTGGGCCCGTGAGCCATGGCCGCTGGGCCTGCGCGTCCGGAGTCTGTGCTCCGCAATGGGAGAGGCCACAACGGGGAGAGGCCCGCGTGCCGCAAAAAAAAAAAAAAAAAAAAAAAAAAAAAGAAGAGACCAGGTACTAGCTCTCTGATCCCAAAAGGTTGGAGACTGCTCTGTATTGTATTTTCTGCTTCTGAGTTCATCATGGCCCATCTCATGGCTGTCAGGAATAGGCCCGAGCAGAACAATTCTGAGGGGTAATGTGTATCCTCTGCTGATCCAGGCAGCAGGGCATGGAGGGGAGAATAACATTAGCAGCTCATTCCCTGTATGTTCTGTTCTCAGATTAAAAACATGGTAAAATGGCAGAAGAGATCTTGGTGTTGGCAGTACGTCCATATCCTAAGTGTCACTGCTCCGTTCTCGATTGGTTGCCTCCCACATTAGATGTGTAGGCATCATTCTGGAATTCTTCCTCACTGTGCTCCTGAAAATTCCCTTTGCCTCTTATGTGTTGGCCCTGCTGTTGCCTGTAAACCGCATTATTGTCTTTCTTGGTTTATGCTCTCATTTGGTGGTGTGTATGTATATATATGTACATATATGCATATTTTTTCCTTTCTTTTTTCAAAAAGTGGCATTTACTATATATGCCCCTGCCTTTTTATCAGGTAGGATATTGTAGCAATCTTTCCATATCAGAAAATAAGAAGTGTCCTTTTTTTTTTTTAAGCCAATTCCTTTTTAACCACTTCTAACCATTTCCTTATCGATTATCTCTTATATGTTGTTTCCAGTGTTTTTTCTTTTATGAACAATGCTATGATGAATAATGTATATATGTTATTTTGCATGTGTGTAAGTATATCTGTATAAATATAGAAACGAGATTGCATGTATGTGGAATTTTGATACCTATTACCAAATTGTCCTCCATAGGCATACAATTTTCACTCTAGCCGCAACATAACATATGAAGAGTGTTTTCCAGTAACCTCACCAAAATACTGTTGTATCACACTTTAAAATTTTTGCCAATCCGATAGGTAGAAAGTGGTATCTCAGGGTAATTTTAGTGTACATGTCTCTCTTTTTGAATAAAGCTGAATATCTTTCCATCTGTCATTTTTTTGCCCATTTTTCTACTGGGTTTTGATCCTTTTCTGATTTCTAAAAGCTTTTTGTGTACTAGGCAGGCAATATGTTTCCAAGTTTGTCATTTGTGTTTTGATTTTGCTTATAATGTGGCAGTAGCTTTTTTTTTAAATGTAAAGCTTAAATTTTTTTTTTGAATTTAAAAATCTTTTTCAAATTTTTTATTTTTTTATGGCTTCTGGCTATTGAGTCATAGTTAAAAAGGCATTCCCACTCCAAGATTTTAAAGGAATTTCCCCATGTTTTCTTCTTTATGATTAATTTTTAGATCTAAATCTTGATCCATTGAAATTTATCCTTTTCCATGATATTTCCTTTTTTCCCATTTGGCTATCCTATCCAAACAGTATAGTATGCTTTTCCTACTAAATTGGTGACACCCTAATTATACTAATTTTTCATATGTCTTTGGGTTTATTTCTCAACTTCCCCTTGTTTCTGTTTGCCTATATGTTTGAATACTAGAGTCATACTTTCAGTTATGAAGATTTTAATGCATTTAGTAAATCTAGTAGGACCAGTCAACTCTTAACTACACTTTCCCCTCCTCCCCAGAGTTTTCATTGCTATTCTTATTTATTTTTCCATATCTAGTTTAGAACCGATCTCTCCCTTCAACCTCTCACATTAAAACAAAACAAAACAAAACCCTAAACCTCATACATACTATTGCCATTTTCGCTGGAATTGTGTTAAATGAATAAATTGGGCGGGGGTGGGGGAGGTGGGGAAATTGAAATGTTAGTAATGGTAGGACCTGTCCAGGAACACGGTGTGTCTTTCAATTTGATCAAGTTTTCTTTTGTCTCTTTCAGAAGTGTTTTGAAGTTTTCCTCATTCAGATCTTACACATTTGTTTAGTTTATTCCTAGTTATTTTCTTTTTAGTTGCTATTATAAATGGGTTGTTTTCTTCTATATCTTCTTTTTTATTGTTTTTGGTTTGTTTTTTTAGAATTTTATTTATTTATTTTTATACAGCATGTTCTTATTAGTTATCTATTTTATACACATCAGTGTATACATGTCAATCCCAATCGCCCAATTCATCCCACCACCACCCCCCACCCCGCTTTCTCCCCTTGGTGTCCATACATTTGTTCTCTACGTCTGTGTCTCTATTTCTGCCTTGCAAACCAGTTCATCTGTACCATTTTTCTAGATTCCACATATATGCATTAATATACGATATTTGTTTTTCTTTCTGACTTACTTCACTCTGTATGACAGTCTCTAGGTCCATCTTCTATATCTTCTAACTGGCTTTTGTTTGTGTGTGTGAAGGCAATTTACTTCATTATATTTATATATTCCATATTAAATTCTCTTATTATTATTATAGTAGTTTTTTATTTCATTTGGTTCTTTTGGCTTTTCCAAGTAAAAAGTCATATCATCTGCAAATAATTTTATCTCCTTTATATTTTAGACCTCTGACATTTATTTTTCTATCAAATGCATCAACTAAAACATTAGTGGTGAATAATAGTAGTGAATAGGGAATATCAAGGGATTTGATCTTATAATTTTTTTCTCAGTGTATATGATGGCTTATATTAATAGATTTCCCTAATATCCCTGCATTAATAGAATAAAAGCCTCTTGGTCATACTGTACTGTTCTTTTAATGTGCTGCTGTATTCTGTTGCTGATATTTTATTTAGAATTTTTTCATGAGTGATATTGATATGTGTGTGTACACCCTGTCAGCTCTGGTACCAATATTATGCTTCATGAAGATAATTTGGAAGTTTCCCTTTCTCTGTGCCCTGGAACATGGGTTTAGTGACATTCCTCTGTGAAATTGTTAGGACCTGGAGCTTTTTGTAGGGAGTACTTAATTCAGTGACTTTAACAGTATTCTTTTTTTTTTCCTCCCTTTGAAAGCTGGAAAATTTTCTGTCTCTTCCGGGTTTAATTTCTTGGAAAATTATCTATCTTTTTCCCTGAATTTTCAAATGTAATTGCGTGAGAGTTGAGCAAAGTGGTCTCTCACGATTACTTACAAAGTCTTTAATTTTGTTATTGATTTCCCTTTTTTGTGATGTGTGATGTTGGGCTTTTCATCCTTATCTTGATTTAGATTAGTTGGTGGGTTTATTTGTCCCTGCTACTCAAAGAGTCAGCTTTCGATTCATTTATTCTCTTCAATTTCTACTTTTATCTTCATTAACTCTTTCCTTATACTTTTGTTTGGTTTGATGTCCTTCTCTAAATTTATAAGTTGGCTGCTTAATTCATTTGTTTTTATTCTTTTCAACTGATTTAAATATATAAAGCTGTGAATTTTCTTCTGAACAGTGGGAAGTATCTTGGATTCTGATATGCAAAGTTTTATTTTTCTCTGGGAAGTCTGCAGTTGGGTTTAATTTCTCTGACAATAATTTTTTAACAGCAGATTTATGTATCATTTTCACACCAAGAAGTCCAGGTCTAACAGTGGTTTCACATATATGAAAACCTGTGATTAAGACTTTACTTAAAAAATATATTTTGAGAATAATTGATAAGCTTTCCCCTCACCCCACCGTTAAAATGTGAATTAAAGATTAAATTCATCCACTAAGTAGGACGATAATTAGTGTAAAAGATGATAATTTATTCGCTTAAATGTCTTTATTTTTGGAATATATATAGTTTTATTCTGAGAGTTTTTTGTGAGGTTGGATCTTTCCTAAAACGCATGCAAGAGATGTGGAACCATAAACTTTATCATTTACTAAGAGCTGCTAATGACTTTAACACATGATTGTTATTGACAACTAAATTCAAATAAAACAACAATTAAGATTTGGGCTCTTCTTCTTGCTGTGGAGAATATTCTGGACTTTAGTCATCTATGTTTATAAGTAAAATAATCTACATGGAGGTCATAGTGACCAGTTTAATAGCTTCTTATATATTTATATTAAGATTTTCTTCATAGGTAAGAAATTTCCTATGGTCTATTTGTTACTGTTTGTCCTAATTAAGGAGTAAATCATTTTAGGGACAGAGTGGGGGAGAGGGAGGGAGGGGGCAGGAGACGGGGAGAGATAGGGGAGAGAAGGGAAAAGGAGAACTTACTCTAAACCTATAAGCAAAATGAGACTAGGCTGCTTGCTTTTTGTCAACTGAGGAAAATGCTTTAAACCCAAGAGAGAACCTAAACTTGGGAATCTTGACTTTTCTTTGGGGGAGAATTTGGCATTAGAGCATTATTCATTAATGGAATTTTAGAACTAGAAGAAAGGACATATTTGATTTTTTAAAAAATTCATTTTATTTTACTAGGGAACTGAGATCCACTGTACCTTGCTGTTTGAAAGTCCTCCTCTTATTAAGAGGATGAGGCTTGAGTTGATGGGCACTAAAACCAGATTCTATTTACAGGAACACAAAATAATGCTTTGAAAGAATATATTCTAGTATAGATTCTTAATAAATTCTTATTACTTTGTTTTATAGCGAATACAAGCTGGCATTCTCAAAGCATTTAACAACCCAACTACTAAAACTGCTGATGATGAAACTAGAAAAAAAGTCAAAGGTATGTTGACTCTTTCACTATTAAAACTTTTTTCTAGAAGAAAATATTGTAAGTTTCTTTTCGGGGCAGGGAAAGGAACTGAGCATTATGTGAACTAATGGCCTTAAAAGGAGGGTGTACTTCTGTGGCTGCAAGATAGTCTGAGTCATCGAAAGAAAAAGTTAGAATCCATGTGAATTTTAAAATACAAAAATAATATCAAATATACAGATTGACACTGATGCCCTTAAGTGAAGTATCTTATGGGAGACTTGAAAGGTTGTTGAAAGTAGCAGCCTCGCTTAGAAGTTCACTTTTATCACATTGTATCATTTTGCAGTTGAAGTGTGCTTAGATAGGTGGATTTATGGATATTGTCTAGTCTTAACTAGACAAAATGCTTCAGTGCTCCAAAAATTCCTGCAAGGAAACCATTATTTATGAGAATACTATTAAATCAAGCATAAATGTCTACTCCTAATGTTGACTCTTCATCAGCCAAAATATGAGACAGAAACAGTGATTAACTAATCAAAGATGATCATTTACAGTGATCAGTATTTAAGTGTAGATTTATATCCCATGTTATTAATGATTTACCTTGTCTGGAAAGTATATTCTGCCTTGAGATAGTAACTAGTGGTAATGTGTAGTCATCATTTATAGAAAATGTTTAAAAATATTATTTGTATTTTACTCTCTTTTTTAACATCTTTTTTTTGGGTAGCATTATGTGTACATACTACACGTCTGTAATTTATAAACAAATATACATACATTATGATTGTATATGACAAAACTTTATGTGCAGTTAAAGGTTCAAGATTTTGAAAAATACAGACTCTCAAGTATACATGTTCTCTTGTTTTCAGATAGTGCCATCTAGTGCATGTTTAGAATAACTGCTCATTTATTCCTTCACTTCTTTCCAGTTTTGTAATCTTAACATATTTTCAATCCCTTGTACAATTTTTGTTAATGAAACATCTTAGTTTAACATAACTTCTAAATAGTTATCATCATCATTAATAAATATTTATTGATATATCCAGATAAAAGTCTGCTCTGTTATTCAGTGCTTCAAGTAATGTTCTAAAATGATTTAAAACGTTTGCATGAAATTTGAAGGTAGAGATCCAAAAAGGATAGAAGAAAAGTTTGAAAGAGGAGTGAATAGGTTTTTTAAATATGTTTTTCCCCATGGTTTACTATGGAAAATTTCAAACTTCCATTAGAGAGACTAGTATAATGAAGACCATGTACCTGTGTGCCCATCACCCCGCTTAAATTACATTCAATTCATGGTGTATTATGTTTCATCTGTTCTCCCCCAACTACATATTATTTTGAAGCAAATCATAAGTATAATTTTCTTTTATTTATAAGTATTTCCCAAAGAGAATAATTTTAACATTTTTATGTAACAGGAGTTACATATATAACTGAGTTATTAATTGCCATGTTAGTTCTTTATCCTATGCAGTGTTTACTTGTCTTTTACTACTCTGTTGTTTCCATAGTTATGGTCCTGGCATCTGTAGTCCTAAATCATAATCTCTTTTCCCATCACTCTATCTACCTCTAGGACAGGCACAGAGGCTTTAAAGGGTTTAGTTGGAGCAGTTGAGTGTGGTATGAATAGTGGTTAATACTCTACTTACTTTACTTCTTAAGTTTAAGAACAGTTTGCTATTTCTTTGAGACTACAGTAGTTGATAGTCACATTTTCTCTGTGGAATTGTAAAAGAAAATGACATTATAACATCATATAGTGAAATATATTATTAAATATGGTCCTCGATATCTGCCTTATTCAGATTTCTTTTGATTCAATGGAAAAACAGCCTATTACATTGTTAGGTTAATGGTTGACATGTTTTTTGCATTAAAAGTATTATTTTTACAGCATATGGAAGAGAAGGTGTGAAAATGAACTTCATAGATCGTATCTTTATTGGTGAATTAACTAGCACAGTCATGTGTGAAGAATGTGCAAATGTAGGTACTTTGGAATTCACTTCATCATGGAATAGATTATGGTCACATTGTTTTTATTGTTTTCTTTCACATGTAATCATCAGCAGTCATTTATTTTTATTTGTCACACGTGACTACATAGTAGTTTTTAAAAGTCTTTTAAAAATATATCCTTCACTCCTAGAAAATAAACATAATGTATAATTTTTTTAAGTAAATGTGTTATCTACTTTTTCCTCTTGACACACCTGTGAAGTTCATTTAGCCTATTTTAATATGCTCCAATGTGTTAGCTACTCATTTGGATTGAAAATGAAAGAGAAACTTCTGCGAAGAGAGTAACTATGTTAATATAATTACGCATTGCCCTAAATTGTAATCCCAATAGAAATAATTTAATGTCATAACATAATTTAGGCTGATCTACTTTTTTTTTTTTTTTTGCGGTACGCGGGCCTCTCACCACTGTGGCCTGTCCCGTTGCGGAGCACATGTTCCAGACACGCAGGCTCCGCGGCCATGGCTCCCCGGACCGGGGCACAAACCTGTGTCCCCTGCATCGGCAGGTGGACTCTCAACCACTGCGCCGCCAGGGAAGCCCGAGTATCTTTTAAAATAGAATTATCCTAAAGAATCTACAAAACACAGTCAAGCTCTCTGGCTTTTTTCATGGCTTTTTCTTAACATTTCATATTTTATTTATTTTATGGCCATAATTTCACCAAAAATATGTTTATATCTTCAGTTAATCAGTTTTATTAAATGCGGTTTATTTTAAAGTTACTTTATGTATTACAGGTTAATCATATTAACAGTATTATAAAATTCAGCTGGGTTGCATTTATTGACGTTTTGGGATACCTTGTTTTGATTAACAGTGTGTGTTGCTATACCCAATTAAATTACTGTTTGTTCCAGGAATGTTTTTTAACTTAAGATTTTAGTTGCCTGGGAAGTTTGATTTCTTTAAGACTTTACAAAACTACATTGTCTATATTAGAATTCTAACTGAAGTTCTCAATATGTTTTCTTTTTAAGATCTCCACAGTAAAAGATCCTTTTATTGATATTTCACTTCCTATAATAGAAGAAAGGGTAAGGAGAAAAAACCTTAAGTCTTTTTGTGAAGGGCATTTATAAATTCATATATTTAGGCATTTGTTGAGTATATTATCAGATATCTGAGCATCATTACTTTTTATATACAGTAATTGAGTTTGTACAGTGTGCATGATATTGGAGTTTGTATATGTATGCGTAAAGTATGATATAGTTCTCCTTTTTTATTATATAAATTTATTTATTTATTTTTGGCTGTGTTGGGTCTTCGTCGCTGTGCGCAGGCTTTCTCTAGTTGCAGCGAGCGGGGGCTACTTTTCATTGCAGTGCGCAGGCTTCTCATTGCGGTGGCTTCTCTTGTGGCGGAGCACGGGTTCTAGGTGTGCGGGCTTCAGTAGGTGTGGCACATGGGCTCAGTAGTTGTGGCTCACGGTCTCTAGAGCACAGGCTCAGTAGTTGTGGCGCACGGGCTTAGTTGCTCCGCGGCATGTGGGATCTTCCTGGATCGGAGCTCGAACCCATGTCCCCTGCATTGGTAGGCAGATTCTCAACCACTGTGCCACCAGGGAAGCCCCTATGATATATTTCTTATTCTCAAGGAATTTAAACCTTTATGCTTCATATTTTGAGAATTAATGTTTAGGAAATTACATTTCACATGAATTAGAAATTTTAAACAGTAGATGATATCCAGAATTTATTTCCTAAAGAAGTTTTGTGTTATATATATGGTATCTAATAGGTTTCAAAACCTGTACTTTTGGGAAGAATGAGTAAATATAGAAGTTTACAGGACACAGATAGTGGTCAATACAGTGGCACTCTTACTATAGAAAATACTCATCAACCTAGAGCCACCAAGAAGCATTCTTCATCTAACGATAAGGTAAGATTATATGCATTTGTGAGACATCTGTTTTTTAAAGCTTTTTATTAAAAAATATTTCAAAAGTACACAAAAGTAAGGAAGTATGATAAACTCCCATGTACCCATTTCTCAGCGTCATAGCTATCATCTCACAGCTAACCATGTTTTATCTGTATCTATCCCACATTTTCCTCCTCACCATCCTAGATTATTTTGAAATAAATCCCCCAAATATCATATACTTAAATGTATATCTCTAAAAGATGCTTTTTAAAGACATAACCATTGTATCATTACTGTACCTAAAATATTTAAAACTTCTTACTAGCATAAACATCTAATCATAATTAAAATTACTGCAGTTGTCTCATAAAATACTTGTTTTTGCTTTTGAAAGCATATCTGAATTTAGGATCTAAAAATGATCTATAGATTGCCATGTCTTTTAAATGTCTTTTAATCCACAGATTCCACCTTTTTTTTTTTCTTTGCAATTTATTTGTTGAAGAAATCATATCATTTTTTTCAGCAGTCTCTCACATTCCCACATCAATAATGTTTCATTTTGCATGTTATAGTAATTCAGTTTGCATGTTGTGGTAGTTCATTTTGCATGCAGTAATTCATCTGCATGTTGTTAAGAGGTGCCTCTGTTCCTTTTGTTTCCTCTCTAAGGCAGTTAGGGCCTTATTAGGTTTAAGTTTGATTATTTATTTAATTTTTGGCAAGAAAACTTTTAAGTGGTGGTGTATATTTCCATCAGGAGGTGCACATCATGTTTGATGTTTCTCTTTCTGTAATGTTATCAGTCATTGATGACCATTGTCTAGACCCATTATTTCTCTAGGGACATACCTGGTTGATGAATTAAGTCATATACATTTAAAGACATCAATCTGAATTTGCACCTCATTAAAAAAAAACTTTTTTACATGATATGATTTGTACTAACTTGGCAAATTGATGTATTACCAGATTTAACTTACTCTGTTAGAAGGTCCTTTAAGGGGCAAGACTGCAGAGATTATGCAAAGGTTTACACTTGAAAAGCCTCCTTCATAGCACTGTTCTACAAAAGTCCTGTTCCCTCTCCATGAATAGGTAACCATTATTGTTGGTTTCTTGTGTAAAAATTTATTTTCAAATTAGAGCTTTTTGTTAGCATATCTTCTATTGATTGTACTTTGGGTAGATTTAGGAAATGGATTTCAGAGGTACTAGAAATAGTATTTTAGAAATTGTCGAATGTTTAAATAAGACTTACTGGCATTTATTTTCAGTAAGGTCACAAGATTCTTTTCTCTGAAAACACTATCAACTTACAGAATCAACCAATTCATGGCAGAAAATGTACAAGAAAATTGTCACCTGGAGAAGATAAAGCTGTTGTCATATACCAGAAAAATGAAAACCTTGAAATGAATAGAGACTCCTCATTGTTTGCGAGCATCGTGAACACTGAGTCGACTCTGACTGAAAGCCCTACCGACGGCAGTGAAAAAGAAGCCAGCCTTTCTGAAAGTAGTGTTGGTGCTGACAGTGAGGCTTCAGAGTCTGAAAGTGCTCCTAAGCAGACTTTGTTGTTGAGATCCAGCCGTGGATACTATGTGCACACAAATGGACACCGCCATCCGTCAGAGAGTGAACCACTCACCAAGGAGGGTGATGGTGGTGATGAGGGAGTGGCTGAAGCTATTTCTGAACTTCATTTGAGCAGCACTGTAACTGGAGATAGGGATTTTGACAGAGAAAATCAGCCACTAAACGTTTCAAATAATTTGTGTTTTTCAGAGGGCAAGCATATGGTGTCTTACAGCCCCCAAAATGCTTTTCAGACCCTTTCTCAGAGCTATATAACCACTTCTAAAGAATGTTCAATTCAGTCCTGTCTCTATCAGTTTACATCTATGGAATTACTAATGGGGAACAACAAGCTTCTGTGTGAGAACTGTACTGAAAAGAAACAGAAGTACCCAAAGGAAACCAGTTCTGCAGGTAAATATTTAGCTTAATTTTTTAAAAGTATTCATGGATTATCTTATAAACAGTGACTAGTGGGTTATAGATCCCACAAAGAGAAGCCTAAGAACCTTGTCTGCGTACTATAGCTGCTTGGAGGCAGGGGTTGTCTTATCATATTTGTACCTCAACACTGAAGACACTGACTGGGCAGAGAAACTTTTCAATAGATTTTTGTTGAAATAAATTGAAGGACAGGAAGTATCCATCTCTGCCTCAAAAATGCAAACCCAGATAATCTTATTTCAGGGAACTAGCTATCTGAAATCTTTCCAGAAAAAATTTCTGTAAAACTTAAAATTACAACACTAGTGAGATTAATGTTCTTCATAAATCCCATCAATCTAGTGTAAAGTCATATCATAAGTATAAATTTGAAGATTTTAAGTAACTGTATGTTATAAAGCTAGTAATATAATAACTGTGTTTTGTTGACCAGAGAAAAGTAGAAAAGGGGGATTTGTCACGTAAGAAATTTCTGGTGTACCTCTAGCCTTGATTAAATGGAGAGAACACTCTGATTACTTAGTGACTAGTTGTTTCAAAATGCAGGTTTTATTATTCAGGTATGATGAGTCTAACAGATAAGGAGACGATTGCCACTGAAAAGATAGTTTATTACTTATAGTTCCCAAGAGGAGGGGGCATGCTAAGCCACGCCACACAGGGCCACAAGGGGAAGCACCAGGGTTGGTCAGGAGACAGAGGGAGCAAGGGGGAAAATGCAGGCAAGAGCCTTTATTGTGGTTTCTAAGGGAAGGAATGGATGCGGCAGGATAGACAGGCTTAGGATTGACTAGTTTTGAAAATTTCAGTGGACTCTGCAGTATAGGGGCTGTCCCTAGCTGTCTGGTACATGGCTCTGGTGTGATTAGGGCAGGTGAATAGTGGCCTAGAGTTATTAGAGCTCAATAAAGGAGGTGGTTGGGATATGGGCTTTGGATTGGTTGTCTTGCATATGAAAGGCACACTTAAGTTGTTTAGTATCTAGGAATTAGCTAGATCTGGGAAAGGCCCTTTCCAGTGTCAGCAAGGCTCCAGATGTCAAAGCATCAGAATAAAGACATGATTAATACATTAGTAATTAAAGAAATATCTATATGGGAGAGGAAGAAATGCCAGCTTACGTTAATCCAAGTTAAATATGCAATTAGCCATATTCAAATCCTATCACAAGTGTTTTCTAACAACCTCTTATTGAAATGACCCATCATTCCCATGATACATGATCTCTTTTCACTGCAATGAGTAATGACCCAGTTTTTTCAACTACAGGTGTGTTTCTGTTGTTCTTTGACTGGTGGGCATTGACATAAGTCACTACTGGTCTATTTGCTTTCCAGTTTCCAAAGTTATGTTGCAAGTGTCACCTCCCCTTTTCTTTCTCCTTATAAGTGTGTGCCTTAAAAAAAAACTCCCTTTCATATTAGTGGAGTTTTGGGAACGAGTAGAGGCTCCCTGTAATCAGAGGTCTAATTTATTTTTTAACATTTTTGAAAATGTGGTATGATGCTTCTATTTAAATGTTTACTGTATTATAGGGTAGATAATGTATAAGATGGAAATTTACAAGTAACTTTGTTATCTTGTATTTTATGCAGAAAAGAAAGCAGGAGGGGTTTATACTAATGCCAGGAAGCAATTGCTCATTTCTGCTGTTCCAGCTATCCTAATTCTCCATCTTAAAAGATTTCATCAGGTAAATTCCCTTTAGTAGCACTATACAAATTTTCATCATATGTTTTGCAGAGCCCTAAGTCTTGTAAATTACTGTCAAGGATTAGACAGTAATTTATTGAATTTAAAAATTTGTCATATGAGGGACTTCCCTGGTGGTCCAGTGGTTAAGACTCCGTGCTCCCAAGGCAGGGGTCCTGGGTTCCATCCCGGGTCAGGGAACTAAGAGCCCACATGCTGCAACTAAAGATTGCACATGCCGCTGCAACAAAGACTTGGTGCAGCCAAATAAATAAATATTAAAAAAAAAATTGTCATATAAGATTTATTGCTTTTTCATCCACAATAGCTTACAAGACTTTTCTAAATAAGATTGTTTAATTCACAATATTTGAAGATTTAGGTGGTCGGAACCTCAGTGGCATGCGTGTGTGTGCACACGCGTGTGTGTGTGAATGGAAAATAAGATTTATTAAGAACCCTTAGAAGCAGAGAAATAACAAGGTGCACATAACTTTCTGAGCTTTCATTCCAATGAGAGTGGTACTTGGGCTGGGTGTGGTTGGCTGGGACCAATTGCAAAAAGGGCTGCAAGGCAGGCCCCACTCTTGTAGGACTAATGGGAGAGAACCTAAATACAGTGTATCAAGTTTTTATCTAATTGTTTATAGTTTTAATTCAATGCCTTGTCTCTCTCTTTGTTTTTTTTTGTTTGTTTGTTTTTTGCATTTGATAAAACGATTTTAAAGTTTCTCTGGAAGAAACTTTAATAATTAAAGCAGTATGGTCAGAATTGTCAATAAATAAAATTTGAGTATAATTTAAAGCTCTTTTGTTATAATACAGGATGAATCTCAAATCAGTTGGGGAAGAGGCTAGATCACTCAGTGAAGGACTTAGGAAAGATGGGTGTTTGAAGAAATAAAAATTTAGAGCTTCCTTCCAGACCATATATATCAATACTATTTTCAGATAAATGTTTTTTTAATTGTATGAAACAAATTATCAAAAGACTAGAAGAAAACTTGATGAAAATTATTAACCTGACCTCTGTGTGAAAGATTTTCTAAGTATAAAACCCTTGAAAGAGGGCTTCCCTGGTGGCGCAGTGCTTGAGAGTCCGCCTGCCGATGCAGGAGACGCGGGTTCGTGCCCCGTTTCGGGAAGATCCCACATGCCGCGGAGCGGCTGGGCCCGTGAGCCATGGCCACTGAGCCTGCGCGTCCGGAGCCTGTGCTCCGCAAATGGGAGAGGCCACGACAGTGAGAGGCCCGCATAACGCAAGAAAAAAAAAAAAAAAAAAAAAAAAAAAAAAAAACCCTTGAAAGAAATCTCAAGGGAAGAGATTGAAAGCTTTGATTATATATTTGCAACATTTCAGGTGGGCCACAGATGGGCAGGAAGAGCTTTTTCTCTATACCCCCCATCCCTATCCATGGAAATTCGATTAAGTTCTTGATTTTCTATAGCCAACGTTACAGAAACCCAGTGGAAAAGAAATGGCCGTGGAGAGCAGAAGCAGATGTATTGAGTCTCATTATATCAGAATGTGAAATAGAAGGTGTATATCTGTAGCGACTCTGTGTGAATGAGATAGAGTCATGCCAGATCTGAGAATGATGTAGCACAGTTATTTTATATTTGGTACTTGCATCCCTTTTAGGAACAACTTACAGAAAGAATTCATACCCTTAAAGGGAGATTTTTATAGATATCTCGGTCCCTTCTTGTTCTCAGGCTAAATGTAATGTCTGCAAAGCCACATTCTCATCCTCTGGGACTGTGAATTTTAGGGATCAGATTCTCTAAGCAATGTCTTTGCTTCTAGTTTTTCAGTGTCCCTGAAAACCTGTTTCCCTGTAGTAACTTTAGAGTTGTGTATCAGAAACATCCACAACACTGAAAGGCAAATCTCAACAAGATAGAGCTCTTTGTCATAAATATGGCAAATAATTAATATTGTAAATATGTAAAGAGCTCTTAAAGATCAATAAGAAAAATATCAAGACTCCAATAGTAAAATGGTAAAGAACATGAATTGACAGTTCATAGAAGAAGTAAAAATTCCAAGAAAGTA